GTTGTTGTGCGGGCCGTTCGCGTAGAGGCCGAGCCGATACCAGTCGCGCACGTAGCTGCGCTCGGAGAGCCGTTCCAACGTCTTCGCGTCGGTCGGCGGCTGCGTCATCACGCCGGGCACCTCGAAGTCGTCTATGCTGAGATCGTCGTCGTGGCTGAGATCGTTGTTGTCGGCGATCGGCAGGCTCATGCGCCCGGGCGACGTCATGTACTTGTTGTTGCTGATGAGATTCATGTTCGGCAGGACGTACTTCTGCCGCTTCGACGACTGCTTCGGCTTGAAGCCGGCCTTCCTCGCGGTCTTCAGCAGCGTCTTCTTCGCGAAGCCCTTCAGCGTCGCGTTCTTCTCCTTGCCCTTGTGATGCGCCGTCTGCGTCACCAGCACGTGCCCGTTGAACGCGAAGTGATGGAAGATGTGCGGCGGGTAACGCGCCTTGTGCACCAGTTTCCTCAGCGTGTCGATGTTCTCCGGCGTGACCTCCTCGTCGAAGGCCAGCTTGATCAGCTGGAACGTGCAGGAGCGCAGCTGGAGGCCCTCCTGCAGGCACTGGTCCAAGTGCGCCAGGTGCTGCACGGCCACGCGCTTCTCCTTCGTCAGGGACGTCACCGGGAAGGCGCGGACGACCAGCTGCTCGCAGGCGAACGGGTCGCACGGTATGCCCTTGAACACGATCCTGTAGTTGGTGAGGAAGATGGCGCCCTCGGCCGGCAGGAGCGGTGGTATCTTCGGGAGGCCGGCGGAGCCCTCCTCCCTGCCGTCCGGCAGCAGATAGACGCGCAGCCCGTCCATTATCACCTCCTCGCCCGGCAGCATGTTGGGCGTGAGGATCTTCGGCTTCTGTATCGGCGGTAGCCGCTTGCTCTCCCTGTGGACCGCCTCGAGCGTCTCGATGTGCATGTGAACCACCCCCGGCACCATCTGGTGCAGGCACCTCACGTGCTCCGCGCTGACGCCGCCCTCCGTGCAGACGCGGTCGACGAATCGCGAGACCATGCGGATCACCGCGCTCCCGGTCTCGCCGGGGTCGGTCTCCTCGAACCCGGACTCGGCGTCGCCGCTGTCGCTCGCCACGCTGTTCGTGATGCTGTTGCTCGCCCGCTCCTCGTCGTACACGTTGTCCTGACGGTGGGTCTTCGAGCCGATGTCCAACGGCACCAGCAGGTAGACCATTCGGTTGGCGTAGTGAATGGCCTGGCTGTACATGGTGCTCTCCTCGCTGTTCACCAGCTCTTTCTGCTTCTCCGGCTCGATGGACGGCCAGACGCGCATCTGATCGGCGGCGATCTCCAGCGCGGACGGTTCCTGGGCCTGATAGATCGAGTATCGGTACGGGAACTCCTTGCCGTCGCGGGGACTGATCGGACTGAGGATCGCGTCGTTGATCAGTCTAGGGGGCGAATTGTCACCCGGCAGATACAGCCGCTTGATGTCCTTCTGCACGTCCAGGTAGAAGGCGTCCTCCCAGAACTGCTGGTTCTGCCAGACCGGGTGCTCCTGGATGCAGGTGTAGGCGAACTGTATCACGCCGGTGCACAGCTTCCTGCAGAAGGCGGTGGCGAGCGGCAGCAGCGCCGCGGCGACCCCGTGCTCGTCCATCGACGAGTCGTCCTGCAGCGCGCAGTTCATCAGACGCACCACCAGGTCGAATTGCTGGTGCTCCAGCATCGCCTTGTTGCCCACCACGTGCTGCGACAACTCCATGCAGAGCGCGAGGCGCGCGGCCTTGCTCTTGAGGGCCCGCAGCACCGCGGGGAAGGTCTTGCGAGCGTCGGAGATCTTGTTCTCGAATATGCAGTTGATGCAGTTGCGCAACACTTCCAGCCTGCGCGCGGAGTTGCTGACTAGATGCCTGGTGTCGTGGACGAAGGAGATGTGCGGCCCCGTCGGCACGATGCGGGGCTGAATCGGCCGTAGGGAGGACAGTCTGACCTTGAGATTGTTCTTCGCGAGGCCCTCGTCGATGATCGCCTGCACCTGCTCCGTGTTGATGCGCGGCAAGAGGGGCTGATGGATCCTCGCGAACGCGCCCTCCGGGGGCTTCAGGATCTTCTGCACGTACGGCTGCGGATTCGGGTTCTCGTTCGTGTAGAGCTGCTGCGCCAGCTCCTGGATGTGCGTGAGGATTATCCTGTGATCCTGCGTCTCCTGCTTCAGCTGATCGCTCAGGTTACTGTAGAGCTCGTCCCAGACGTCGCACGGCCGCCACGGCGGGCCTCTCTCCGCGATGAAGGACGTGAAGAACATGCAGTCCAGGACCCGCGTGGTGAAGTCGCAATCCGTCAGGCCCCTCTCCCCGAGGAAGGCCGCCTTGTGGAAGGTGATCACCGGCTTCGGGTGTATCCGTATCAGCGTCAGACAACTTCGGTATCCTTGCAACAGTTGAGCAAAGGTTCGCATGAACACCGCCCTGAGTTCTTTGTCGAGCATCGGCGAATGCGGCGCTCTGGTAGCGAGCGGAGGAAAGGCGTAATCGGCGCACGCCAGTTCCGGCTGCAACACCAGCGACAGCGCGTCCTGTGTCTGCGAGAGCAACGGCTCCGGTAACAGAGAGAGCGAAACGCCGTCGGGGACCATTATCGAGCCCCCGTCCAGATCGGCGACTATTACATCCATCTGGAAAGGCAGAGATGAGCGTGGAGTGTCGGAAACGTTCGCGAGATCCTGAGAGAGGAAATAGCCTTACGAGTTCGGCGATCTCGTGCCTCAACGAGCTGTGCACGCCCATGATGAACGGGGTCGGAGTGCTGAGTATTTCGACTAAAGCCGCTGGCAAAAGAGGAATGTAAACGTGCGAGTACCGAAACGGATACATCAGAGCCGTGAGGGCGCGACACCCTTCGGTCAGTCGAGAGTAACTGGCTGAGTGAAAAAGTATCTTATGTTCTGTCATGACTGCGCAAAATAATACTAGCACATTGCGAATACCTGAAAAAGAGCGGAACGGTGAATGATGCGGCGCGGAATATCGTCAATTCTACAGTTCACCGTTTCCCTTACCTAATTGCTGAAATAATAAATTTACACTAGTATGAGTTATAGGAAGAGAGGGGCTGATTGGTGGCTGAAGCGCTTGACGATCGCCTGCTCCGATGCTGAATCGCACCTGAGGCCCGCCAGCAGGAGGTACTTGAATACATCCTAATATATTTCCGACTAATGTCTCTAACGGTATACCGAGATTTTCCACGTACACTGTGTAAATAATACCAAGACAGTTCTGCAAGAACGAACAGATCGTTGGTGTTAAAGCGAAACGGCTCGAGGGTGAGACGGAATGAATGATGACGTCTATTGTAGAAATATCCACGTACTCTAAATGTTTCTATGTAATCGAGTCTGGAAACCAGCACCAGACACTTGGGTGCGTACATAATGCTATGATGCGCGATAGCGGGTATTGCCCTGACCAGGGGTCGGCTGTCCCCATCCACGGGATCCTCCTCCTCGTCTACGGGTTTACTTGGCACAATCGATATTGTTTCATTGAAGCACATACAGGCGCAATAGTGTCGGTTTGCGTAAACGTCCGTCAGTATCGAGACAAAGAAGCGGGGTTCCTGCCTCTCGGTCGACAAGGCCCATCCTTGCGGCTGGCAAAACTATAAACAAGACGGTACTTTAGTAAATGACGCGACATCTTGGCGAATTCTTTTTCCTTCCTGGAGGGACGAGTTTCATGAAACAGAGGTTTACCCATTCTATTCCTTCAATGAAAGGTGTATCCGGCCAGTCTTTCTCTGGGAATCGTTGCAACACAATCCCGCTACTTACACCACCCCCTGTAATCACAACGTAAACCTGTGTACTCATCATGTGTATGTACTGGTATATCGTGTGAATATATTCCATACTTTTCCATTTGGCGATAAGAATAAATCAGTCTCGAGTGAAACAGAAGTATCGTGCTACAAAGCTGCTCAACGAAGCGTTTACTACTCAGCTTCGTCAGAGAACACAGTAATTTCTCAAAATAAGAATCATTAATCCGTCATTTTAAAACGCTGTTTTCTTCCCCTCCGCGAAACCTAGACGCACATTCATCGCCGCGAGCCGAGGAAGGTGCGAGAAAATGCGGACGGGGAAAGAAAGGAAAAAAAAAAACAAGTGTCGTTCTAACGACGATATCGGACGCAGACTTTCGACGATGACTCACTTTCTTTCTCGTGGTCGTAGCCGACCACAACGAAGTAGTCGGCTAACCGAGACATCTCGGTGTACTCGTGGGGCTGAGTGGGGGTGACGGCGCTCAACATCCCACGTCGAGTTTATTACACGTGATCTCATGGACCTCGTCCCCGTGGCGGCCGAGCGAGCTACCTTGCGTCAAACGCGCACCACCGGTCAACGCGCGGCTTGTCAATGCGCGGCCCGATTCGAGAAAGTCACGGTCATAATTCTCGCTCCACGTTCGACCCGACTCTTCACGCGGCCGGCCGCGAGCGGTCAACGCCGGATTCGCGCGCACGGAACACACTCTCTCTCTCGCGGGACGACCGTCGGCAACCTCCGTCCGCGGAAAAAAAAACGACGGCCGAGGGGGATCTCGTGCGCGGCCGAGTCGCTCGTCGCGCGCGTGTACCTCAGCGCACCATCACACCACCGCCGTCGCGTCCCGTAACGTCTCGCGGACCGCCGAATACGATGCCACACCCCGAAGCCTTCAATCCATAACCTTCCAAACTCAAACGCCACATTGAGTGTTTGTTGAATCCACGTATGGGTACGGGGCCGCCGGACCGCACAACGTTCACGCAAAACGAAGACGAGAACTGGATCGGCCAAACGAACGGACGGATGACGCCGTCGAGAGCGTTATCTGAGAGCGACCGGGACGAATTAAATCAACATGGCGTTTTTTCCCCGCTATATTCAAATCATCTCTCCCTCTCGTTCTAACTTCTCGGATCTTTGTCCGCGATTTATGCAAATATTACGTATTACATGTCATTATTGTGATAATTATGAGTATTATGATTGTTCATAATTGTCAATTATTGATCTCCTCCCTCGTCCTAATTTATCAGATTTTTTATTTGCTATTAAAATAAATATTATATATTATTATTATTATTATTGTCATTATTATATGTTATTGTTATTGTATATTACTTTACTTTTGCATCAATTTATTATATTAAACTGTACTATATATTTATATATATATATATACATATATATATATATATATAATTATATGCCAATACGTTAAAGAATGGGTGCGATTGGACGAATTTCATTTCGGAAACGGGTGCAGATGGCGCGTCAGACGGACGTGCCCGTAGCGCTGCCAGGGAAGACACCTGTGCGCGGCGACTCTCAGGCTTTTCTCCAATGTTATCGACTCGTAGCCCGTGCTGTCCAGGCTTTTCTCCAATGTTATCGACTCGTAGCCCGTGCTGTCCTACGGTTCCTGCACCTTCTGCACTCGCAACACGGCGGTGACACGAGCGACCGAATCTCGCTGTTTTGCGTTTCCAACATCGAACGGGCATGAGGCCCCACGAGGACAGGCATGACGTTTTCCTGTGACTTCTCGAGGGACGAGTGAGGAAGGGACGAGTGTAAGTGTGACCGTCGACGTTCTTTTCTCTCTTCTTTTCGGGGAAAGCGGCGAATATACTTTCGTCGCGCCTCTTCCTTACGTCTCGCTTGCAATTTCTCTCCCTCCTCTCTTCCCGCAGTTGAAGCCCCCGAATGTGCGAGTGTGTGTGTGTATGTGTGTTTATTTTATTTGAAACGCGAGCGCATAAAGATAACGCAAGCAACAGGAATTAACTCAGCAATTCATTCGGGCCGGTCCCCTCTGATCGCACTTTCTACGCTTTCTCTCCGTAATTAATTTTTCCCTTTGCTCCTCGAATTCCTCCGCCTGTGTATTTTCGCTTCCACTCGCGCCTTGTAATCCTCGTCGAGGCGAACCGTCCGGTCTGGTCGGAACACCCTGCGAACGCTCGAAATCTACTTGCAGGACTCCGAGCGTAATGACGCGCGACTCCGCCGTGGAGAGGCCTAATAAACATCGTCGCCGTCGACGATAAGCCTCGCGACGGACAATGAATGATACGTGGTATCGGCAGCCGACACGACCCAGCAGCAGCGGCGGAGCCCGAACGGTCCCTTGAGGAAGAGTGTTGCGTCTTGTTGCTGTCGGAAGGCCGGAGGAACGTCGAAGGAGGATGGTAAATCGCCCTTTAACGATGGGTCTCTGAGGAAGATCCCCCACACCCGTCACATCGACTCCCATGCACTTCTGGATCAACAAACCAGCAGGCAGGTACTACGGCTTTAGCAGCCGCCGATACCCTGCCACACCTGTGCCCAAGACATATTTCAGTAAGTAATGTCGACGCAGATCGTTGAAGAAGTACGAAGGCTTAAAGTACGACGCATCGGAGCTAGTCGTCCTGACCGGTGTGTCGCACTTGCAGATCGATGTTTGCACGGTGGCGAGCTCAGGAGTGTGGTGACTCCGGTGCCTCGACTCATGGGCCTCGGTAATGCAGTCGGGAACGCGGCCGGACCCAGTAATGTCAGTTCCTGCCGGAGCGTCGTCCGGCCGAGCACGCGAGCCCGCAACGAGAACAATCGACACGGTTCGTCGTCGCTCAGGGCCACCCGGCTCGGCCAGCTGAACAACATCCCCAAGTAATTAATGAAACACAAAAAGGTCTACTAAGAGGAGATTCTGAGGAACATGCTCTTCCTATATACAGGGTGACTCACTTATCTCACATGTCTCTATCAGCGGAATGTTCTTGTAAATGAATCGCCCTCCGTTCGCTCTCAATTACGCGTTTCAAACGAAAGATTAAGGCACTGCGCTGACGGCCGGACGCTTATCGTTTCGCGGATCGTTCGCAGCAATGTCACCGACACCAGCAACAATCAATTGATACTGCCGAACGCGACCGCCAGCGGCACTAACAGGAGCCTACTGGGTTTCTCCGAGTTCAGCGACGCGGAATTGGCCGGCTTCCGGCTGCGTTGCGGCATATGGATCACTTTCGTCGTGGCGTCGACCTTCGTTGCCGCCGCTAAATTCTACTTCGGTTACAGGGTAAGTGTGTGCTCCCTGTTTTCAACGATAGCGGATTCCGCTCCTCCTCTGTGTTTCCTCTTTCCGACTAACTTTCACCAAACTCCGGTTACACTAATCGGCAAATGAGAATAAAAATTGCCAGCACCGACTCCGAATGATTCTGTGATTCGTCGGTGCAGCGGTATGTAATTGATAAGTTAATCTCCGTATCAACAAGACAGAGCAAGAGTGACACTTGACTGAGAGCAATTCTAAATCTAAGCCGACTAGCTCGATCAAAGTTTGATGAAAGTCACTCTTGAAAGTCAAGCCTTGATCGTTCTTCCGTGTCGCCCGTGCAGGGACCGGGACTGGAAATACTTGTATTCTGCGGGCTGCTGCTGCTGCTACTGATCGCCTGCCTGTACTCGATCTTCTGCCGCGTTCAGAATCACGGCCGGCCGGAGCACCGCATGCAGGAGGACCACATCGCTGCCCTGACCAGCGCCGGCGACGTGTCAGTCGGCGAGAGCGCGAGGCCGACCGTGCCGACGGCGATGGTGAGGCCGAACCCGCAGCCGACGGTAAGGCCGAACCCGCCTCCGCCACCTTATCACATCGCCATCCTGATACCGCCGCCTGGTATCGCAGACGAGGCACCGCCGCCGTCTTACGACAAGGTCATGCGATGAAATCGAGTCGTCGACGACTTTGCCCGGGCGTTTTCCGCGTCCGCTCGGCGACGTGACCGTCCAGAGGGATGGTAGAAACTCGGAGAACCGCGACGAGGTCTAACGATGAAATCGAGCTGAACCGACGGATGAAGAATTGTCGTCGCACGCGACGCATTCGCATTTTTCCGCTCGCGCGGAACCGCTGAACCGTGCGATTAACTCGCTTGCAAAAAGAAAAGGACGGGAAGATCGATCCTGGGAGAAGGTCGCGTGACGTGAACTTTCCCAGCACTTTCGACATTTTCACGTCTGTTCAGGGACGTAGCGACGGCGATCGCCGTAAAATAAGAGACGAGGCGAGCCTGCGGAGGGGTAGTAGCTGGGAGAAAATGATTCCGCTAAGCTCGCCACCGATTTCCCACGGGGGCTTTCCCGACTACTGCACCCCTGCGGCAAAGGTACGGTAGAAAAGTGTTGCGCGCGATCGTGAGACACTTCGGGATGATTCGAAATAGCGCGCGAGAAGCGTTGACGGATGAACCGCTCGTTCGAGCGTAGAAGAGAGGAAGAATGATTCAGAGTCGACGGTTCTCGAATCCGCGAATTTCTCTGCGCGGATCAGGCGCTACAGAGGCGCGCCATCGAACTCCTTCCGATCGTTTCTCCCCTTCCGCGATTCGCGTCTTCACTTCAGACTTAGGATAACGAAACCGCGCTTCCTTGAACTCTGTCTGATCCCGAATCACCCGAGACACTTCCAATACGATTATAAGACTTTACGGATCGACTACGATCCGATACGTGTGAATATATCGCGCTCTCTTGTTAGCGGAAGCTGCAACAAGCGGGCGCGAATCTCATAGAATAGGTAATTTTCACGTCTGTGATAAGAACGCAACATGTAATATTGGCAACACATACACACACATAAATATACGTGCATACAGTGAGGATTTGAGAGGAGAGGATGAGAGAAATTTGCATAACATTATTTTCTAGCGAGCGTTGATACAAATCGGAAGCGGGTGTATTAACCTAACGAATTTGCATTTGATGCGGATGAAACTGTGTATTCTAATCTTCTACACTGTAATCATTATATGAGACTGTGTGATATATCTAACCTAGGTTTAGGTCGTAGCGCGTTGCAAACCGCCGAGCCAATCGTTTGCGCTTCAGTTTATCTTGCGACTAGCTTTAGACTCTTTAGGAGAGGAGCTCGAGTCGAGGCTAGAATCCAGGGGGTCGATTTTCTATCACAAAACGCAATGGGAATTAGAAAAGTGAACTCTCATTCGATCGGGTAACTTTCACCATGACAAAAACGCGATGTATCTTGCAAGTGAGATCACTTGACGAGTAACTTCGTGCCGAACGGCATCAAACGATGTCGCCAAGGATATCCGTGATTTTCACATCGCGTACAGCCAATCGCGCGTATTCACTCCAAGACGCACAGATTCGCGTCAACAGCTGCTCAACTGAAAATGCCAAATAAAAGTGCCAGAGATTTGTATTCGGCTGTCGTGATTATTGGCTCGAGTGGTCCAATTGTATCGCCAAAGGGAATTCAAAATGGACGAAGACGTTCGGCGCATTTTTTAGTCAGGCAGCTGACGCGAGTGCGCTTCCGCTCGCGTTCCGACTCCGATCGACCTCGCTCTCCTAAATTGCGATTTCGTGGTCGAGGTGCATTTCTGATTTCCCTTACTTCGAAGATTTCCACGCGGACGCTCGCGTTTCAGCATCGGTCGTTGAATCGAAAGGTGTTTCTTCCAGAAGGTCGCTGGATCCTTACGTCCGTTCGATAATACTTTGACTGTCTTTACTGCAGTAGCCATGTTCTGTTCAACTTTCAACGACAATGTCGTCTTCGTGAAGTTGTGGTCGGTGCGTAGCTTTTCTACTGTGGTTTTCTTATTCCGCTAACGCGCTAACAAGTCAAGACGTATGAGCATTCGCAGTATCGCTCGTTTTCTAAACGCGGTGATAACAATGCTCTGTTACGGAAATCGATAAAAATCGATAATCACGCGTGCGTTATAGCGAAATTCCTCTTCAAAATTACTAATAAGTGGACTTGTTAGCGTGCATTATACCTGCGTAACGACAACGTTATGATAACGACACTGTCGTTAAAAATGACAAATGCGCGGAGAGAGAGAGAGAGAGAGTGTGTGTGTTTTATCAAACGCATACACACACGACATGCGCGCGCGTATATATACTCATACACATACACATCCATTCGCATGAATGAAAGAAAAGAAGCGCACAAATTTAAGCGTGCGATTAGAGTCGACAAAAATTCGCGAAACGCACGCACGACTCGGTCGTCACTTACGACAAACTGATAATAATACGGAGTGTTCGATAATCGGCATGTTTGACGCACGTAGTGCGTTAGTTTCTTCTCGAAAAAGGAAAAAAAATACCTATTCGCTCTTTCCCAAACGAATGTCCCATCTGTGGGACCAACATTTTATTACGAATAAAATGCGATTTTAGCGTGAGACGAGTAATATCTCTAGTACGTTAAAGGTGGAGCGCGATCATTCGGATGCAAAATCGGCCGGCTATTTGACTTAACTGTCTGATGATTCCGGTCTGAGCCGAGAGAGCAGAGACAAGTTAAAAAGTAAGCGATTGTGTTCTCTGTTTATCAAATGCGCTCATTAACGAACACTGTATGTACGGTGCATATCGCGTACTTCTCACGATATACGAAGCACACGCGCGAAGTTTCACTTATACTTTACAAACATGTAATGACACAGATGTGTTTAGAAAAAGCTAAGAGAGTTGTCGCGTAAAATCATAATACGATTTTGTATTTCTCTTTTTCTCAGTGAGAATGCGTGAATGGGGAGAAAGAGAGAGAGAGAGAGAGAGAGAGAGAGAGTTGAAAGAGTGGTGCGTGTACGCATGTAAAATGATCGCTTACATCATAACCCTGTATATTTAAGGATAGCTACATATAATACACACTAATGTGAGATCTCGTTTGAACGTTCTTTGTAACTGTAAGTATCGCAACCTTATCGTGATGTACAAAATTCATCGTACTTTTTAACTGCACTTAATAGACACATTTCAATCGAGAAAAGTGTAAGTGAAACAAGACACAAATTCTCCATTCTCCACGTGCATCCCTCAATGCAAGATTAAAATTAATGAAAGATTAAAAAAAAAAAAGAGGAGGACTCACACATGAAGTTATAAATATAATTTATTTATTCGCATGAGAAGCGCAACATTGGAGAATATGGATCTTGTTTCCACGCACTCTTCGAAATTCTTTCCTCTTTCTTATTCTACTGCCTCGATATATATATATATATATATATCGGTGCTTACCCGGTGGATACCAAAGTAAAACAAACGCATATATAATATATATACACACGTTTGTTTTACTTTGGATTACGGAAAGCGTAAGAAAGTGCAGCTGAAAAGAGTAGATACGGACCTAGTAAAGTCCGTTTCTTCCTACGTGTCACAGTTTAAGAAAATCGCAGTCGGTTCGCCGCACGCAAAGTGTTGTCTAAAAAGTGTTCTCACCGACCCCGTTCTTGTTACTTACACTCTCCTGAAATGAAATATGGATGGACTGAATGAACAGGATAGAAACAAGTGTCCCGGCTCGCGCCGAGAAGAGAGAATAAAGGAGAATAAAGGATGAGCAGAGAGCGCAGCTAATAAGAGCGGGTTCGTGCAGGAAAGACGCAGCACAGTTCATCCGCGAGATTGATGAAGGTATAAATATAAGCGTGTTTAAGTCGTACATGAAGCAAATGCGACGACGAGACGAAAGCAAATAAAAAAGAAATCTCTCCTCGTGAGGTGGCTTCGCGCGTACGTTGCGAGAAAGGTGAGTTCTCTAGTTCTAATTAACGATAATCGGTATTGCAATATCGCCGGTCTTGAAGAAAGCCAGCGAGAACTTCTCCAGAACAGACGATATGAGCGACGATACAATCGAGACGCGAAATTGCAAGTAAAACTTAAGATGTGAATTTTTGTTCACAGAGATCAAGTTTTTCGGTTTTTAGCATTAAGTAATATCAATAAGTCATAAATTAATAAAGATTAATAAATAAGTCGTAAGTTGCAATAAACGGTTTGTGAATTTTTCTCCAAGACCGACGACGTGTCTTCTCCATCAAATGACAGTGTATATATATTACTATGATACAAACGAAATTACAGTCTCTTCGAAGTATAATAATAATGATAATAAATCAAATGATACTGATTGCGAGCCACATATTTACGATCTTGTACGGAGTGCACGTATGTAACACAGAGATGAAAGTATTTCGGAGGCTGCCGTGTCAAAAATACATAATTATCAAAGAAGAGACGAAGTGACTGGATCCGCGTTTATCGCTCTTTATCTCGTTCAGAGCCGTTCCTTTGAACATTGGTCGAAGTTAACCGAAATCCAACCGATTTTCCGTCTCTCTCCACTCCCGTACATCCGTCTAAAATGAATTCGATTAACAAAAATACTCGCGATCTTCTGAAGAAATTATTTAAATTATTAATTCTGAAATTCTGAAATTTCCAAACGATAAGTATCTCGTCAATTGTTCTCAGTTCTGGGAGTCGCGATTGTGTGTCTCGAAACAGCGGGAATTACAAAAGTGAGTTCTCGTTCGACCGAGCAATTTTCATTACGATGAAAATGCGATACATTTTTCGCGTCGCGTGACATTTGAACGGTGTAGCGGGGATGTCGTATTTTCATTTTGCGTACAGCCAATCGCGCGCACTTGCACGAGACGAAAGTACGAGAAAAGTGAGAAAAGTCGAAGACGAAGACTTGACACAATCAACTCCATTTCTCAGAAGGACGAAAAATCGGCTGGACGTCAGAATTGTGAAGGGTTCCTGGTAGTCCAACATGCTTTTCCACGAGCTCGAGAGATTTTAGCCTTAAAGCTATATACCATTTATCATATATTACAATAATTATTTAATTTACATCTGAAAGAAGAAAGATAGATAGAGAGAGAGAGAGAGAGAGAGAGAAAGAAAAAGTTTAATCTAAATCAATTTCCTCGAGTACTTGAAAAAGACGTGTTGTCGAACCCCTCGATTGTGCCGATTAATGTTCACAGAACACGGCGCTGATAAACATCACCGTACATGATAACGAATTGGTGTCCGATGGGTGCCAGCCTCTGTGCACTGCCGGCAACGATATTTGGCGGAAACGATAACGACACGAGAACCCCTGGCGATCATTCTCTGTCTAAACCCTCTGGATCTCGAACAGCTTGACATCCGTGTCGTACCATATGGGTGGCTCGACGTTTCTCAGATATATCACGCCCCACATGTACGTGCGGAACCACGCAGTCGTGCCAGGATTAGCCTGATACCGCCTGATAAGGATAGGATGCGGCACCGGCAGCAGGCCGACCAGGGTACCATGTTGCAGGAATTTCAAAATCTCGCTCTCGTCCGTCAGTCCCCTGTAGCGTTAATCGGATCGATGAAAACACGTGAATGGGAATCACGCTGATTGTTATTGCTTCGTACGATCGTACGTTTCTCCGATCACTCGAGAGTAAAGAAACGCCTCGAATTCGGAAGACAGTCTTTCTCGCTCTTATTGTGTCTTATTGAAAAATATTGGGTCGATGCAAAAGCTCCCTCCGTCCGTTAACATGATAAATATACGTTTACTTGTTTGAAGATACGATCAATCAAATTTAAGTATGCGCCGATTGGTTCGATGATCCGCCACCTCTCCGGTGACCCCGCGACTGTAGAAATTCCGGCATTTCTGCGAGCGAAGATCCGATTGAAAAATGAATTTTTGCATCGATCCGATGAAAAGAAATATTCATAGATATGTGTTGGAGCGTTTTCTTTCCTTTCTGAGATCAGAAGAACGATTTGGGATTCCGCTCACTTGTCGATGCAGATCTTCTCGACCTGCGGCACGAGCACCTGAAGCAGTCGCATGATGGTCTGCAAAGGAAGCTTGCTCTTCCACTGATACACCCAATCGCTGGACGGCACCCATTGGTTCACGTTGTTGACGTTGTTGACGTTGGAATTGTTCGCCTGCTCCGCCACGCGAATGCCTCCCTTCTGCTCGGAATTTGAGAATTTCGCAGACTTTGGTTAAGTTATTGTTACTTACGTTATCATACATTATATTATATTATATTGTCGATTCATAAATATTCTGTTAATTGTGTCGACAATTGGCGCTGACGCGATCCTTACCGGCACCACGGAATTCTTGATCGCGTTCGCCGAGTCCTCCTCCACGTCGTCCAGCGTCTTGCTCTCGTGATTGCTGATGGACTTGTCGATGTCGACGCTCGCCGCCGGGCTCAGCGGATGCGCCGATTCTTTCTCCGTCATCTTCTCGATACCTGTATTCGTTACAATCAATACTCGTGTAGTTGCAGAAAATTGCGGACGAGACGAGGATGAAAAGTGACAGTTGAGTGAAATTGCGCGAGGGGGATGTTAACTTAGATAAGTAGACTATTGATTAACTTAATTAAGAAAACGTTAGCAGTGTGCCAGCAGATAGGCGGCAGAGGCCGAGCGGGATCTTCAGTATGTCCGATACATTTGAATGGTCGTGGAAACGACAGATCCTGCTCGTAAACTCGCCATCGTGTTCCGCTAGCAAATTCTGCTAACAAGCTGCTGACGAAACTTGCGGCATAAACACTGCGCGAAATCTGTTTCCGCAGGTTCGCCTGTCACTTTTATCAGCACGTTTCACGCTGCTCCTCGACACCGAGGAAAACTCACCCGGAGTCTCCAACAGGGACGCTTTCAGAGTGCCGGGCTCGGCGGGTTGGGCGGGATGCGACCCTTCCATCGCGGCTTCGCTGACGTTCTCGTTGGACGTGCTGGCGGGCACATGGCGACGCTGCCTCTTGCTGAGAGACTTCGCGATCGTGTTGCAGTCGCTGGGCAGGTTCGCAAGCGCGTGGAACACCTGCCGCTTGCGTATTATAGTATACACTAAGTTGCTGTTCCCATCGAACTGATACTGAAAGCGAGAAAAATAGAGGTCTCTCCCTTCCCCTGTCCTTCGCACATCGCGATCGCGCTTACTTGGATAATATTGTTGAAGATCTCCAGCAGGAAGAATACCAAGTGGTGATTAGTGGGCGCCGAGAACAGGAACCACGGTGTGCTGAAAGCCTCCAACAAATGCAACAGCTTCGTGCTCGCCACCATGGACAGGGTCTTCAAGTACGGCGAAACGTTCACTAGGATCGTCAGCAGACAGTCGAACAGCGGCTGCAGCCTCTGGTGACCGGTCGTGATGATTTTGTGGAATACAGTGACTAAGAGATCGGCATGCGTTCCTGAAAAGTAACAAGTCCAACCGAGAAGTTGAACGATCGCACGATCATAATTTTAATCCAGTTGCCCTCTGAAATTGAATTGGCACTGTCATACCTGTAAAAACGGGAATATCCATAGGCACGGTAGCTGTGTACGGCTTGTTCAGTCTCACCCCGAAATTGCGCTCCCCGCTCAAGAGAAGCAAGATAAACACGCCGATGTGCATCAAGCCTACCCGTGCTGCAATTTAAACGATTGGAAAATTCACAAAGACTTCCCCCGGTTATTGCGAGCGTGAGAATAAGAGGGACGAGAAGTTACATTGGTCGGCGCGCGAATCGTTCAAGTGGTAAAGTATCGGCACGAGAACCTCCAAGACGTCCGAGCTCTTCAGCACGTAATACAGGAACTTTTTGTTATAGTCGCACATCTTCCAGAAAAACACCAACAGCTCCTGATGAAAGTGCACCTTCTTGGTCGAGTTCGGCAGATAAGTTTGCATCAGCGGATTGTTCAACAACCTGGTGATACCTTTCAGGACAAACTGGAAATCTGTGGACAGAGAGAACGGTGACGTGCCTTGCACAAGTCCGACCTGGTGAAACGATCCTAGGAATGAAGAGAGCTAATGGGAACGTCGAGAGGCTTCCCGTGATACGCTGCCACGGAGGAAAATGTTACCTTCATCGCGATGAATTCGACTCAAATAATTGATGAACAGGTTGTCCCCAACCGCGCCTTCCTCTAACGGTGCTCCGCCGGTGGTGTCGTGATCCAAGGTCACGATTAGAATCTGCAGTGCGACGTCCACCAGCGGCTCCAGGGAATCGGTGAACAGCAAATGATTATACGGCACCCCGTAACCGACCGGATCATACGCGCACACCGTGTTCAGCAGCGACGTGAACATGGGTAATACGTGTCTACGAACAGTCACGAGTAATCAGCATTTAATATCGTATATATATGTAACTGATGTGCACCGTCATGTGCACGAGATTGAGTTTTTCCGCAAATTTCCTAGAGTCGAGAGACTAAAATCTGTGCACAGATCTAATAACAGTCAATCGTGATGGATCACCTGTTTTCGCTGCTGGTTAAGTGTTGAATCCACCTGTTCGGCATGACTGACAAATCCACCGGCGGATTGTACATCGTCTCGCTGAAGCATGTCAGCAGGAGTTTCAGCAATTCTGTGCGGTTCGAGTCCAGAATGGGATACCTGGGTGGTGAGTACGCGAAACCCACCCCTGCTTCCCAGATATATTCGCAGCTGTCTATCGACTGCAGCTCTTCGGCTTTATCCTGCAAGGACGTAGATGAATCTGAGTGAAAGTTACCGCGTGTCACACTAGTGACAGATACCACAGACTTACCGGCCCTGATTTTCTGCTAGCAGCTACGGTAAAGTCAGGACAAAACAATAGATCCTGAAGAAGACAAAGATATGGATTACTTTGGGCATTATTTACTTTGTTGGGCTATTCATATCAACTTACTTCATACGTGATTGATAGAAAAAAATATTGCGTTAGAGTAATATATTTCAAACATCTTACACAGAGCGCATTCAACAGAGAATGAGCCAATGGCAGACTTTCCTCATTGTCTTTCCCAGGCAAACTGGACCAGAAGAAGCCTTTCCAGTCGGAATCTTCGAATATGTAAGGTAACAAACGTGTGAGTAAGCGACAACAATTCAGGACAGTCTGATGCTCTCGCTGAGTCCTGCAGCTGCTGTCTACTGCCTTGACTAACTTCTCGACTGCTTTGTAACACAATGTCGCCAAGTTGGAAGGTGCTTCTTCTCTCAGTATACGAATCTCCGGGGCCGGAATCAGAGTGAAGATGTCCTGAACATTGGTCACATTCTCGGACCAAAATTGATCCCAAAATGTGTCGTCTGACGCATCGATCACCTGTCAATATGGTGTATAAACTATTGACAAGTTCTTAACTGGTAGGTAACAATATGCGATAATGGCCTGGCGATGTTACAAGTCTTCGAGTACTTTTGCGAAACACTCTTCTGTTTCTTAATGTGAAGCAAGTATTTCTGATATTTCAGAAGGTTTAATGTTCAATTGTAAATTTAATCGTAAGCTTACTTGTACATCATAACATACAATCAATCTTACTTTTTAATTATACTCATAATAAATTATCATTATATGTCAATGGTTCTGCTAAAAATGCTCTTTCCATTGACCTGTCAACCGATCATATGTTACTCGAATGGCCAGTAAACAACAAGAGTTTTCACCTGAGTCTTCGACGTCAATTGCACTACGGCCTTGCGGAAGTTCAGCTTCGTGTCGGCGTTGCCCATTGTACTCGTCGTCGTTATCCGTTAAACGATTAAGCTCTGTTGTAATAAAAGGAGTAAAAACGCGTCGGAACTCTTCAAACGAGCATCATCGCCGCCATGTTTGTATCGTGACAGCGGCCGTGACGTTTAAACCCGATTTATATGTCCAGCGTTAAAATAACACGTATAGTACACAGTTAACGTCAATTTGATTAGCGCGTTGGGTAGTTCCAAAAGTAGCCACCAATCAGAGAGGCGGGCGTGCTGGTTGCGGCGCGAACTTCGCGCGAGATGAAACCCGTGGAAAACGTTACGATGGGCAAAGTTGGTAAGAAATCAATTTTGGATAAAACCGACTTCCAACATAAACATGTATATGTCTTGAAAACAACGAGACGTCACTGGTACTTCGAGGCCCGTTCTGCGAATGACAGAAGTCTCGAAACTCGGGAGAAAAGGCGACAAGAACATCTTCCTTTGGCGCTACACAGCTCATATAAGGCTCATATAAGGCTTAGGCTCACCTCTCTCTCTCTCTCTCACATGTATGCATGAGTGCGCATGCAGATTATATACATGCATACAGAATCTACAATTTAAACGCCGGTTCCGAACGGCAAATGTTTGGAGAGAGATTTCCATGACACGAATATACTCTTCGGTGGTTTGTCAGACCACCGATGAGGGGCGCCATGAGCGCAGGAAAATTTGTCCGGCTCTGCCGGGAATCGAATCCGGGAGACCTCTATAGCGTAGCAGACCGGTGCGCTGTCTACCATGTCACGCTCGCGCTTCGACAAGAATATTTTCGTGCGCAATACAACTCACTTCAAGGTACTTTGCTTCGGTTCTAACCATAACCTTTACATCTATTTATGATTTGCACACTTGCGATTGAAATTCAGGAAGAATATATATGTTCGTTCGGGAATACTGTGAATACTTTCAGGCATATCTGTACAAGTGTGAAAAACTGTTTGACAATGGTGCACCGGAACTAATCATTCACGGTTCTGGAACTACTATATACAAAGCTACCAGTTTAGCTTTGCAGCTGCAGAAGATTCATTGTGGATGTTTGGGCCTTGACATCAAGACTTCTTCCATGCAATTGGAAAGTATGTTCGTTCATATTTACGAATGGTTGAATTATTTTAATATTATATCTTATATCAAGTTTTAATTTGATCTCTTTTGTTATAGGTAAACAGGATATGTTAGATGACATGGATGGTGAAGTCATTAACAGACAAAAGTCTGCTATACACATTCGTGTCTTCAGGAAAATACCTGCGGCTGTGCTGAGGTCTAAGAACTGATGTGATTCGGCCGATCAGTGCGTTTGAGTAACAAGACTGTGTACAATAGAGTAACGGAAATATTAATTGAATTACTATCAGAATATTACGGGGGCACAAAGTTGTAATAACTTCACAATGATCTTTTCCTTGGAGGAAATAGTCCATTTGTTAGGGTTAACACTCTTTGAGATGTGGATCAATTTGGTCGCTTTAACAATCTTTACTGTACTGCTAGCCTTCAAATTAGATAACAATTATTTTTTGGAGTCATCGGGATGGTGGACCGTTTTCTCACCACTTTTCGTAGCCGATGGCTTGAACACATATTTTTGTGCAATCATATTTATAAGAATGCACATGGAGGGAATGATCAAGGCGGCTATTTTTAGAGCAGTATGGAGCCTGATATCGTTACTCCTGATCTTTGTCTTTAAGTATCTGTTATGTAAAAAGCTAGCTGGACAAAGCACGTTAGAATACTCGGAAGTTATGAGCCCTGTATTCATTCTCCTGCAACTGGTAGCAGTGAGAGCCTGTCACATTCATTGAAGGAAGTACGAAACGTTTTTTGGACGTATCATAGTGCTTCCCCATGATATCCCATGATATTTCCCAAATATCTGCCATGTATGAGGACATGCGTTACCATATATCATATAATGTACATATATATTTCATAAAACTCATTTTCTAGATTAAATCATGAAAAAAAATGTTTTGCCTACAAATAATCTCTTTCTATTTCTCTATTCTATCTATTTAATATTATATAAGATCTGTTGTTGATTAGAAATACATATACATGTTATATAATTATACGGTGAAAATATTTAATAAATATATGTTTTATCACAAAAACATCCATGATGATAATAGATATAGAAATAGAGATGTTAATTACACAAAATATAATATAAATTTTTATTTTTATGACATTTTTCGGAAACTGCTATTAAATATAACGGTCACTGTTGCAAAGTTTCACTTAAAATCTTTTAAAAGTACGTTTGAGATTCACACAAATAATATTCGTAAAGAATTATTTGTTTCCTGGAAAAAAAAAAAGAGACACCCAAATCCGCTTGGTAATCGATTGTTTAAAGTTTCGCTCGCAGGATATGATTACTTTTAAGATAATTACAATTCCGATATTTAACGTATTAAACGTGGCGTATTATATACGAGACTATTTTTAACCATTCAGTTTTCCAATATTCTTATATATAGTATTGAAACTCTTATCTCTTAGAAAATGTCCATTAAGCCAAGACGAAAGTTTCTTTTAAACAAAAATAACAGGCCTATGAATCATAACGTAACATAGACCGATAAATTTAACACTGCTCCATTTAAACTCTAAAGATAAACAACTGACAGGCCAGTTGCTTTGGTGAGCATGAGTGCCCCCTCCAGCCCTCTTCAACCAAGATCAATATTCCTGAACTGAAGGGAGACAGTGGTTGTGCATGCAGTGAGAAGGGGTGTGTGAATCAAGTCATTCTATAGGTAAAGCCTGTTGCTGCTACCGCATTTTCAAGCTCGCAGAACGTGCATCAAATGGCACGCACTTCGACGATTGTCGTTTATTCATAAGGCTGATCAATTAGAAAATTCAGTGATGTGCTGTGGACATATCGAGGGATTATGGATAGACTGGCTAATTGGACTCATGGTCAGTTTTTTTATTCTTCATCTTAACTTCTAATGTATATATGCACATATGTACCAATATATACATATATGTATACATAGAATAGCAGTAAGTGCCATTTTTATGGATGTAAAACGTAATTTAAGGCATTCGGATAACAGTATATGTAATTAGGTATAAATGTGCAGTTCTTGCTGGAGCAAAGCTTAAAGAGGCTGTACAAAGTTCGAACATGGAGCGATAAATTGCGTATGCAAATATATAAAACTGTGGCCGCGAAATGCCGTAACGAATTATGTTACTTCCGTGTTATGTAAATGATACATCTTCCATGTCATGTTGCGTACAGTTACAGTGCTCTGGCATAACGTGTACATCTACACCGTACTCTCTACTTTGATGCTTTGTTGTTAGGTATAAACGCAACAACCCTAGCACCTGTCACGGGACAAAACTGTGTGTCAAATTCGTCAAACGCTGTGATCCTAGACAAATTACTGATCACTGCTCCGTCATGGAGTTCAGTACAACAAGACTTGACGTGGACTTTCCTAGTGCACATTTACGGCTTCGCATGCCTCTTCTTTGTACTTGGGTTTTATACCTTCTTCTCTATTCTAAATTTAAGGTACATTTATGGGCGCATCACCGATCGCAGGACGGCGTAAACGGCATATATCGTCAAGTGTACCATCTCTACTTGCAGGTCTCTCATATCAAGCCGGCCGTTCATGTCGACCATTAATGTATTCCTGTGTCTGCTCGGGGTGTCGAGGGCTGCATGCCTCTTCATAGACTCGTACAATCTCAAGGAGACGATGCCCAAAGTCATCGGATTGATTATGTGGGACGTCGGATATCCGTGCATCACGTCTGCCTTTTGTCTGATCCAACTGGCGTTCCTGCAATTGACGCAAGTAATTATTGCCGGGTGGTAGAGCGTACACGGAAAAGACAAAAGATACGAATACATATATAACAGAATAAAATACAAATTACGAAGTTGAATATGTATTGCTACATGTGCTTCATCGCTACGTATTTCCAGCTGAAATTCGGCCCGGAGAAAATGCAGAAGGAGTCCTGCCTCAGTCTGATCATAACGGCTCACTTCTTCTTCATCATCGCCAGCGACATCGCTCTGGTCACCCACAATTGCTACCTGGCGAAGTACGTGCTGCAGACGGTGTTCCTCGTGTGCAACGTTCTCATATACCTGACGTTTCTGCACGCCGGTTACAAGATCAATCACTTACTCCGAACTATGCCGAGCAGCATGCTGACCCGGGACAACTCCATCGCACATCAGAAAGGTCCGTTTATATCGGACCCCTGTTCCCCCCCCCCCTTCTATCTCTGCGATATCACCGTGTCTCGACAGACGTATCATTCACGAGATTGCATCATCGATTCACGCAGGTATCATGCAGCTCGCGATGCTGGCACCGTACAGCAACCTGGCTACCTCGGTCGCGGCTGCGCTCGTGCCCACTTTACTCGGCCCTAAGATCCCTAAAGGTCCGGAGGAGAATGAGGCTGTGAACGCGAATAAGAACACGGAGGAGGCTCCCCAAAGTAACGCGCCCCAAGGTAAACGCGGAAATCCTCTCCACCTGGCTCGCGCAAAAACACACACATTGGGTGTATTAAAACTAATAGCTGACATTTCAGAGACGTCGAGAGTCACGACTACCGCAAAGGTATGCAGGATAGAGGAGCCGGTGCAGAAGGAGGCTCCCACCGTCACGGTACCGATGTGTACGATCGTGCAGTCGTCGTCGCAGCAGGAGCCGAAGTCGACGGTGCCGGAGGTCTACGTGAGACCGCCGACACCCACGCCGTCGAGCGCGAATCTGCCGATCATAACCGTGTCCAGTCCGAGTCGCAGGAGCTCCGTGGCCAGCCGACGGGGCAGCGACACGTCCGCCAGGTCCTCGCGTAGAAACTCCGAGTGCAGCGTCCGGTTCATCAACGAGGAGGACACGTTCACGACGGAGTGCAGGCGCACGACGGAGGGCAGCCCGCGGCACAGGGTGCGCGAGGAGATCGAGAGGAGCCGCTCGCCCGACGGCACGTCGCGACGTTACTCGGAGAACATCACGCCGACGGGCAGCACCAGGGAGCTACGTAGGTGCTCCGACTTCACGCACGAGAAGAACCGCGGCTCGCAGTTCGCGACGAAACTGCGGAGGAACAGCGACTTCGGCAACCGGACGCCCAAGCGAATGTTGCCGGCCGATGAACACAGGTTGCCCAAGGTTCTGGATCTCAGTCCCACAGGTAATCCGGAGGGGAGACGCGAAGGGGTTGCCTGGACGGAGAGACAGTATACGCGCGTGTTGATGGTCGTTACTTGATACTTGTCTCTCACTTGTGAGACACTCGGATCTAAATTTCGAGATAGATTTGAAATGTTACCTTTCTTGAATTATACAATGTGACATATATTGCACTTGTGATTGCTGTTCAGCTGAGAAGTTCACGTCTGACTTGTAATTGCAACGTATCTCGTCCGAGGCGAGTTTCAAGTGACGACTGTTTTATACCAGTCTTATACTTGTCTCGCGTAAAGTCGATTTGATCATCGTCGAATAACGTTTCAGGCTCAAGACGCAATTCCGATATCGGCACCTTCGTATCGCCAGCCCGGGTCGACTCGCGCAGAAACTCGGAGAGCACCTACCGACGCAACTCCGAGTTCATTCACATTAAGCCGTTAATTATAAATCGTCGAAGTAGCGATATAAGCATTCGTACTCTGGACAGGAGTCCCACTCACTTTCAGAGCATAGTTCCACCCGTGAAGGTAGAGACGCAAGAGAAGTCCGAGTCCGACTCGGATCAGCCCGATTGCAGCGAGAAGGCGGCGCTCATGAACGAGAAGTCCAAGGGTAAGGACGAGGAGGCGAAGGTACGCAAGAAGAATCTGTCATGGAAGGCCGATAAAAGTATGGAGGATCCGGAGGACATCACGGCGGAGACGAATCTGCTGCCCGAGAACACGCCCAGCGAGGGCAGAGTTATGGTAAAACGCGCTTGTCGTTGCTTCACATCGACTCTACCGATTAGAAATCAAAAGGAGAAAGGCAAGGGCCAATAAGAGCCTCCGCACGGATCTCTGCACGAGACTCTTATTGGCTCCTTCTTCTCGTTCCTCGCCTCGTCACATTCATCCAGCTCAGAGAACACGGATGTCTGATCGCACGTCCTGATCCCCAGGTGTCCTTGGCACTCGGACGTTTCTCGGAGCTTTCATCGTCATCCGGGAGCTTGACTACGATTCGATGAATTACACGCGTGTCATTTGCAGGGTACGGATTTCACTCTTCACTCGATACTGAATCACATCGCGTACGTGAATCGAGCGAAATCCGACGCGCCGCTGCACATACCGGAAGCAAACACCGCGGCTGCCAGGAAGTCTCAGGTGCAGAGAGTGCTGAATGTCACGTACGCCACCGCGATCTTAGGGATCGTCTTATGCATCGTGGATGTCGCTCGTATATTTGGACCATACGGTATCGTACGACGGGGCGATCGCGACGAAGCGAGTGACGACGGTGTCTCACCGTTGTTTCACCCATCGAAATAATAGACGAAGTAACGTTAATGTGAACGAACTCGTTTGCAGGACTCCTCGGCGAAAAGGTGCCGTACGGTACGGAACCGGAGGCCACGCAGTTCCCCAAGCCGTGGCCGTGGCTGTTGTATCAAACACTGTGCCGAGCGCTGGAACTCGTGATGGGCTGCGCCATGGCGAGTATAACTAAACAGCCGTCAGTAAGTCCGCGGCATCAGTATCTGAGCAGTTATCCAAATTACTCGGCGCGCGTCAAGCGGGGAAACAGTCTTTACATATGAAGCAATATACTGCGATCGTGATCTGAGGAAAGTCGGGACGCCGAGTGGGAATTCTTCGGACGGTTCTCTCACGGTTTTCGTTCAGTATTGCACCGCGCGAGAAATGAGATATGATCACCGGACTTTAACCGCTACTTCCTCGCGACGATAAGTGTATGTTTTGTTTTTTTCTCTCCGCGACGGCTCCTTGATTGTTCCAGGTGACGTTATTTCCCGATGTGTGCTCCCTCGATATATCGATTCACGATATGCACGACATTCACATTCGTTGTTCCCTCCAACGACCAACTTAGTTTTAACGAAAAAAAGTATTATTACATATGGAAGAATATCATTGTATGAAATGTACCGTGTTATTTTCGTAAACATAGCGATAATCACGATCATCGGTAACAATTTCTGAATCGGAGACTGTGCGTGTGGTGTGAATACGTTATTGCCAGTGCATGATAAAGGAAGAACGGGGTCTGATAATGCGTAATACGCGAGGGCACAGCAATAGATCAGTTTAACATTCTAAAAACAGAAACGTGTTTGGACAATGTGCAATGGAAAGTGTTACTTTCTGGGAAACTGCTTAATGGAAAGTGTTCACTCGAGAAGCACATATGTTCTCTCGCAAATATCTATAGATGTCTATTTTTCAAGTTAGATTAGTTTCCCCCGACAGATTAGTTTAATGACTTTTACTGTGTTCTGTCATTCTCGGGAAGACGCATATACACAAACATATATATTTTCTGCTGTTGTGAACAGATATATATATATGTATATATATATCGGGTTTTTAACTAACATCATTCGAGAAAATATTTTCAAACCAAAAAAAAAAAGGGGAAAATAAAAGGAAAACAGACTGTATATAAGCGAGAAGTTAAATAGAATAATCTGCGACTTTTACTGATAACACGTGAAATAACGCATTTTTACTATGTGTCGACCGCACCAAAAAAATGCTTAGAAGTAAAAGTACGAACCCAAATTCAAAGTGCCCTATTACTAAATGTTTAACAAATTTAACAAAATTATTACACTAATGACTAATACAGACATAGATGACTTTTATCTGCAAATGGAATTTGTAACAGTGTTGTGATCCTACATGTGATACATATTTATGTGTTTAGAATAGGAGGCCGTTTTACGCTTATGTAAGATTAAATAACACTATATTCCCTGAGATAAAAGACTGTCGAAGTGAGTTTATGATAAAAAGAAAAACAGAGATATATCATAGAGTTATTGCGATTTTTTAAATCTTTATTCCCTTTAGTTCTCTTCTCTTTTCAAATCTTATTTATCAATATCAAATTAGAATAGTCAACGTCAATTATTTTCGTCCCCAGAATTTTAGTGTATCTGTTGATATATTTTGTAACATAATTTTTTGCAACCGAAATTATTTTTTTATGGAATTTTATATGCCACAATATTTTATCCATCGTACAAATATTCGATATTTTTATACTTCCTTTTTTTACTGTAAACACGAATTCGGTATATTCATTCTCTCTGTGTATGAATCATTCTGTTAAGCTCACTGTAAAAAAAAGTGAGAAATCTAGTAATACTTACAAGAGCATAAAAGGTCTCAAGTAACTATCTGTTTGAAATTTATAGTATAACAATCGTAGTAATCTAAAATATATCATTGATGTTTCATGTGCCAAATACTCGTGTTAACTATTTTAAATGTTTACAAGAGATACAAAGTCATTATATATTCTAATGGGAACTCTCCTACAAAAATTATAGATATAGACACAGATATTTATATACAATTGGATGTACAATAAACAATAACTATCGTTTTAATCAAATCGATAAGAATTCCGGAATTA